ATTTTCTATATGGTTATTTAAAAAATTTCGCAAGTTAAGATGCGCGGGAATTTTTATTCGCCGGGTCTTTACTTTCGCGATTTTTTGACAATCGCGAAAAACGCGAAATTAAAGACTCGCGAAAATAAGTACGAATAACGCCTCGAATAAGGTACCATATTGCCGATAAAAAGGGAGAGTGTTCCAGGCCTCTCCCAGTTTTTTTTTTAAGCCAGTTCTCTACCCTATACTGTTTTCATGGTTTGTTCTCAGCTAACATTACATCTACATCATATGAAACGGCCGCTTATCGGGTGTTTCTACTCTATTTTTGCTGAGCAAAGCGCAGGGAAACGCGCATAAAATCCGCCTTCTACCAGGCATGGTGCCACTGCCTATGTGATGGGATCTTGCGCATGCGCATGGTTATGGTAATTTTGCGGGCCGTTTGGTTTCTCGTTTAAGACTGGCATAATTAGTGTTAGTACTCAGATTAAAGTTAGAATTACCTTCCCAAATCCACACGTAACGACCTCCATGTAATATAAACATGCCAAACCTACCCTTTTAAAAGGGCGTATGAACAGGCGGGCCGCAAGGAACTTTTTCAGTGCTTTTAGATTGACATATTCAATTATTTTTTTAAACAGTTCTAAATGTTTCCTTTTTAAAGTCTTTTTTAGCTCTAGGTTGTAGTTTTAACTTTAATTTTTAATTATTTTTAAAACGTTGTATTTATAAGCCATTTTAATAATATTATTGTAAGCCACTTTTATATTTTAGGCAGGTTTTTATCTCTGTGAAGCACTATAGGACATTATTTTTATGGATATTTAGTAAATTAACCCCTTTCGGCGGCTAGTGTATCGGAGGATAATGCCCGCGGCTGTCCCAAAAATACACATTTGAAATTCTGTGAAATTTTGATGACAATCTCTCAGCCAAGGGCATTATCATCCGATATACCAGCAAGATAGAAAGGGGTATATTTATTTTATAATCCTCTGAATAATTTTTTTACATCTTTACATGTTAAGAGAGAAGAAAAACAAAAACAAGAGGTGAGCGCGCGTGCGAATGACGCAAACAAGCACATTGATTGGTTGATTTTTTTTTTTATTATTGAAACTGTGACTGGACCAGGGCTTGCCAGGCTGTCATGTCAAATGAACTCTCGCAACGGCCCATAGATCAAAACTCGAAAAAGTAGCTCTTTAGTTTATATTTTACCGACATCACTATTTGAAAACTACTCAAAAAATTGATAAGTAAAGAGAATCCAACCATATCACTAACTGCCGTTGCAAGGGGCTAGAAAAGTAATGATCACAACTATGGAACACAGAAACTGAAAAATCTGGAGCAGTTGAAGGACTTAAGTGTTACAGTAGTGGGCTGTTGGCAAAACCTGGATTTGTTGCAGCGGATGGAAGATGAGGAAGTCAAAGAAGGAAAAGGTAGAAGAAATAATGAGGCCCATCTGTAAGAACAGGTTGAACTGACCGGAATTTACTTTGGTAAAACTTATTAGTCGTCTGATAATCGAAGATGACTCGAACTGCTGCTGGTTGCGAATTGTACGACTCGATCAATTTATCGCTTTCATGGCCCGCTACCCGTTTTTTCTCTCTTTTCTCCATGCTGAAAGTAACAAAAAAGGCTTATTTTCGTAAACAACTTTGAAGTATTCTTTTCCATAGCTAACAGCTATGACTGCGTAAAAAGCTGTATTCAAGTTTCTGTTCAAATGCATAAATATTAAGCTTAATTCGTAAAGTTTGGTCATCTTGGATTCATAGCTTATTTTATTGATTTTTTCTGTATTTTCCGGAACTGTCAGTTGCGAATAACTCAAACATTTTAGTGAAACTGGATCATACAAAACAAGTTTGTTTTTACTGCTTTCATTTTAAATTATAAAAGAAGATAAAAACTGAAAATAGACTCACTTTGTCATGCCTTCTTGCCAGTGAAAAATCGTAGGGAAAATATCGACACGGACGGGGTGTATTGCCTGACACCCGCCTTCCGATTTGGTACCACGTGACCCCAAAAAGCCAATAAAATCGCGCGAAAATTAATCAGTGGATTATAAAATGCTATATAAGTAAATAAATATTATTATTATTATTATTATTATTATTACATCTTTTGTTGCAGAAATAGGAACTAGGATAGCCCAGACTTAATGCAATTTTGATTTCTTTTCTTTCTTTTTTTTCTTTTTTTTTCTTTTTCTTTTTTGCTTTTGTTTTGTTTTGTTTTTTTCAATAATCCAATCTCAAGCAGCCAATTGTAAATTGCCTATACGTAGCGAGATTTACAATTGTACATTCAAAAACACAAATAAAGTTTCCATTATTATTATTATTATTATTGTCTCTATTATCACAGTCTTTGCTGGTGTTCTTTTTGTGCATCAGCCGGGCGCAATCCATGCACCTAGAGCGTCAGTCACTCAAGTCAATCATTCTATTCATACACTGAGCACCTTTCTGAGGATTCGTGCAGATCCCAGCATGCAGATCTTTTGAATCTTTTGTGATACATCCATCATTGTAAGATAGCTTCATCGTAGTTTTCCAGTTGCTCATTGAGGTTCTCATGAACTTGATTAGTTTTTCATTAAATCTGTAAATCTGTAAGGTCTTCAGTATCCAACTGTAAGGAACACTATCATAGGCTTTTCTGTAGTCTATCCAAGTCATACTCAAGTTCTTTTTCTTCTTTTTGCAGTCTTCTATGATCATTTTATTTATTAGGAGCTGATCTTTGCATCCATATGAACCCCTGACACAACCTCTCTGTTCTTCCGGCAATATATCATTCTTTGTGATATGGGTGTAGCTTCTTTCAGTTAAAATTGATGTGAGCACCTTGTAGGATGTTGATAAACAGGCAATTGGTCTATAGTTTTTGGGGTTCTCTGTGTCTTTGTTCTTTGGTAGTAAATATGTTTGTGCTGTAGTGAACCAATCAGGCAGATTTTCTGGGTGTTCTATTGCTTGGTTATATGCATTCAGTAGGTGTTGATGTAGTGCTGTGAGTTGCTTTAGCCAGAAGTTAGGAACTGCATCAGGGCCGGGTGACTTCCAGTTGCTTGCTTTCTTTAAAACAGTCTGCAACTCATCTTGGCTTATGTCCTCCCATGGTTGGCATTCTGTATCAGCATATTTCTGCTCCTCCCTCTTTATCCACTCTGCTGAATGGTTGTGCTCTCTATCGTTCTCCAAGATGTTACGCCAAAATGTTTCTGTTGCTTCTTTCTTAGGTGGTTTTTCAACTGATATCTGGTCTTTACCAAGGTTTCTGAAGAACTTTTTTCTATCGTTTGCAAACATCTGGTTTTGACTGAATTGTTTACTTCTCTTTACATATCTCCTGATTCTTTGGGCTTTTGCTTGAATTTTCATTTTAAGGGATTCTCTTACTGTTTGCAGTTCTTGATTTGTTGTTATTTTGTATTTCTTTTTAATTCTTTGTTTTTTCTTGGAGATCTTTTGGCTTTCACCTTTCTGTGCCATGTCCGTTAGTACCGACAGATCAGCTCTCATGCTTTTAATCTGATTCTCTATTCTTGTCCTCCATTTTGGTTGTTGCCGTTTATTGCTCTTTGTCTTTGGGAGTTTTGGCATTTTACCCAACTTTTCAGATATCACATACGCAGTGACATATTGTAACAAATTGATGTTATTGAGGTTGGGTGTCTCTTTTGCTATTACTAATTGAATTGCTTGGTTTGCTTGTTTGATCAACAGCTCAGCTTTTCTGTTCACTGATATCTTAGGTAGAGGGGGCCTCTCTGCCATCCTGATGTTTCCCCATTCAGCTCTTGCCTTCTTAATTTCTTTAACTAGGTCTTCGATCTCAGATGGATTTTGTGATGGTTCTATCTCATCTTCATTTGATTCCTCACAACAATTGTTGGCTTCTTCTACAAACACATCATCTACTACACTATCTGTTTGGTTGTTTTGTTCATTCAATTCATTTTTAATCTGTTGCTTGATGTTATCTAGTTCAATTTCTGTTAGTTTGTGTTGTTTTTCAATATATGTGCGTTGGTTCATCAGTGCATTGGCTGTTAGATTGGGCCTTTCATTTGGGTTTCTTTCCCTCCATACTCTGAATGTATCTTTTTCAAAACAAGTTTGTTTTTACTGCTTTCATTTTAAATTATAAAAGAAGATAATTATTATTATTATTATTATTATTATTATTATTGTTATTATTATTATTAATATTGTCATAAGCGGTCGGGAATCAGAAAATCAACATCTAATCAACCGCTTTATAATCTGGTGTAATTGGTCGAACATGATAATAAGAGTTGATAAACGTTCTACTTTTGGAATACGGAAACTGTGCACTAAATCTGTCCAATATTTACCCAAACTGTTGATCAATGGAGTTCTAATTCCCTGTATGGAAACGGGTGAATCATTTCGTTACTTAGGCCGCTTCTTTGACTTCAACATGTCTAACAACCAACACATGTCTGAATTGTCCTCTCTTGTACAAGACTTGATGAATGACATTGATATAAAGCCACTACATCCTAAACACAAACTTCTTCTGTACAGCCGCTATGTCCTATCTAAATTGTCCTGGCATTTCACTATAGCTAATATATCCAAAACCTGGATAACGGAACATCTCGACTCTGTAGTGAATGTCTTTATTCGAAAATGGCTTGATATTCCGATATCTGGAACATTGAGCAATGTTTTCCTAGAACACAAATAAATTTGGTCTTAATATTTGCCCTCCCTCTATTAAATTTACTCAGTGCCAAACAGTTCTCCGAAATTCATTAAAAGAGTCACCAAAGGATCTCTGGAAATCGTCAAGCTGTCACACTAATATTCAATATGATCTGTACAAATCCACTGAGGAAGTTCTAAAAGATTTCCGTTCTAATCAAGAGGATAAAATGCAACACCACCTAACATCACAAGGTTTCTTCTTCTCAAATGTTAAGTACTCATTGTCTTCTGTAAATTCTATTTGGTCAGAGGTCCAGTCTCATCTACCCAAGAACATTTACAATTTTACCATCCGCTACATCAACAACTCCCTCCCTACACGTACGAATATGGCAAGATGGGGATTATCACAAAGTCCTGATTGCTCCTTTTGTCTTAATCCTGAATCACTCCTTCATGTTGTCGCTGGTTGTCAACAGTACCTTGATCGCTTTACCTAGAGACACGACTCAATCCTTAACTTCATTGCCAAGTCACTTCAACCTGTAATTAATGTTCACTCTTCACTCTATGCAGATGTTAATGGTTTTCTGAATCCCTTAATAATAACTGGTGAAAATTATCGTCCAGATCTTCTTTTCCTAATCCAGTCCAACTGCCGTATATGTTCTAGAATTAACAGTTGGTTTCGAGTCTAACCTTAACAACAATGCAGTGCGTAAGAAAGAAAAATATCTGAACTTGATCAACGAAATGAGTAGAAATTACAAATGTGTGAGATTTGTAAATCTCTCCATGAGTTCCCTTGGCGTTTTCTCCGATGAATGCTCCACGTTCTTAGACATGATGAATGACATTGGTATTGACAAAAAGCAGCAACTTTATATAATCAAGAAAATGATAAATATAGCCATTAGAGCAACATATTGCATCTTTTGTTGTAGAAATAGGAACTGGGATAGCCCAGACTTTGATTTTTTTTTTTGGCTTTTGTTTTGTTTTGTTTTTGTTTTTGTTTTTTTGTTTTTTGTTTTTTGTTTTTTTTTTCTTTGTAATAATCCAATCTCAAGCAGCATTTGTAAATTGCCTATACGTAGCGAGATTTACAATTGCACACTCAAATACACAAATAAAGTTTCCATTATTATTATTATTATTGTTATTATTATTATTATTATTATTATTATTATTATTATTATTATTACTATTATTATTACTTCATGGGCAATATAAGGAACCGTTTCTAAGGACCTCACGGTCACGACATTTCGACAAATTACCTCCAGGTTGAGTCCAATTACATCCAAGAAATCCACTCCAATTCCCGATAACTGTTCTGACAATTTACCGTACGATTCTTGATCGAAGGAGAAGCCAACGGCAAATTGGGGTCGAGCATACTTCACACCCGTCAAAACTTCGACGTGGATCGGAACACCAACTATGTCAAAAGAACCTGTTATACGGTAGATACCAGTCTTTTCCAGTTTCCTCAGGTACTCTACAGGCTCGAGAGTAAAATCCCACAGACCCGCTCCCCTAAATTTCAAAAGACAAGAAAATAATAAACATTTATTGGACAAGGTCCAGGAAAATATCGTGATTTGTAAGTGGCGAGCAGATCAGTTATTTACCGAAGCCGTACTCTGAGGCAAATAATTGATCTGCGAGACACTGACAAATCACGATATTTCGCGATAACCGAGCTCATTCATTGTTTTACCGTTCGATCACAAATCGCTCTTTGAAAGGTCAGAAAAGCAATCGATCTGCCATTTTCACGCAAGAGCGATCGCAAGAAGAAGAAGAAAAACGTGGTTTCATTTACACACGAACAGAAAATTGGTTGCAGCTAAACACAGTTGAACGACATTGCGGATGAACAGACCATTATTTGTGGGCAATTATTTGCAGATCACGTGGTGTGCTACCCTGGGTGACAGAGACTTTTTTAGCGCGGTTTCCGGTTTCTGTCACGTCTTTATAGTGACCCGCGCTTCGCCGCTAGTGGAAGCCACTAGCGGCGAAGCGCGGGCCTTCGGCCAACACCGAAAATTCCCGCCGCACGCGAGAACAACCTCTGGTACCCAGGGTAGTGGTGGGCTGTCGGCCAATGAAAATGAGCAAAAAATTTGCATCGAGCTATAATTCATCTTATCATTTCCTTCCTAATTAATCCCTCGTTTGCTTTATCAAAATGCCGTATAACAATACAGCCTTCTTTTTCATGTTCCCCATTTACTAGTATCGGAGAGAAGAGTTAAATAAGGGTCTACCGAAATTCTTTTTTGTTGGGTTTGTAGGTAACACAAAAGTTGAAAAAACAATGCATGGTTATGACAGAGGCAAATCTAATGTTCAGGATTTTATTGCTAACGCTTTAACATGCACAAGCAAAGCCGCAAGGGTAAGCGGCATAACCTCGCCTGCAGAATAAAAAGAGTAAACGTAGCAACTTACTCGAGGGCATCGACAAAATAATCTGGCATATCGACTGGATTTACACCATGTGAAGACATCAATTCTTCAAATGTGGCAGAGTCAGCCGTCCCCTCAGCATATACACCTCCTGACTGAACATCTGTCCAAACTTCTGATGCAAAGACGTTTCCAGTTTCCAGTGTGTAGTCACCTTTTGCCTTGAATGTCTGAGAATTTCCCTCTGTATAATACGAGAACCTAATAACACACAAACTTCATTTAAGTGAAAGAAGCAAATCCCTATTAACCTAACCAAACTAGAGCCTAGTGCTGGTTTCGTCTATAATTATTTATACTTATTTACAAGAGAACATAAGACTCCTTAAAGAAACCCAAGAAAACACAGAGACTGTGGCAGCAAATTTTGAGCTGTCTGTCAAGGAGGAAGTATGATGAAAAAGAAAAGATAAGCAGGCGGGCGGGCGAGTTACCCGTGGAATGACTTTTCCCAGAGTTCCAGAGAACCAGCACTTTGGTTAACGGATACCATAAAGTCTATAATATAATCAACCGAATAGATGAAAAAAGGTACGTAGCAAAAAGCCCATCAAGACGTAGTGGCCGTTACGTAGCTTCTGTAATAACTGTGTGACAGATTTGTATGGCGCAAAGAAAAATTTAAAACAACAAATGAACGCTTGACGGCAGGTCAACGGATGATTCATCTTGGATTACCGCAAGCATTTACACAAGGATGGTTGGGTAACAAATCCTTAAACGTCGCAAACGGGACAAAGACCAAAGCTTAAGGGTTTTTACACCAATGTATTTCATGCGAAGCATAGCCTGTGCACAGACGTTGCTTTCTTTCTCTTTTTGATAATCGACAAGCACAGTCAATAAATCTCCCGCGGTTTTCATTTTCATACGCGCGCTCGACGATCTTAAAAGAGAAAATAGAGGGCCTGTGAACAGGCTAGGGGAACCATAACTGACCACCTACCCCTCCCCTAAGTCCCAATTTTACCCTAAGTGAGAAGTAAGTGTTAACAATGACTTAGGGGAGGGGCAAGTGGTCAGTTACCCAGAAACTTCAAATGAACCACATAATGACTAACCTAACATAGGTTATCTTACATCCACTCAACAGTGAATATTCATCAGCCTTTGAGCACCTACCCCTCCCCTAAGTCACAATTTTAGCCCAAGTGAGACTGACTTAGGGGAGGGGTAGGTGGTCAGTTACCCAGAAACTTCAAATGAACCACATAATGACTAACCTAACATCGGTTATCTTATATCCACTCAACGGTGAATATTCATCAGCCTTTGAGCACTGAAACTCGTATTTTCTAAGGGCCTCTGCATCGTCAATCCAGATTGAAATAGCCGGTACGTTTTCTGTTTCGTTAGGACGCGTCCACTCTGGGAGGACGTCAATCGTTGAGTAGTACGTTGCCTTGTTATCCACGACCTTCTTAATGGTCAACGGGTCGATAATTTCGAAACAAACCTTAACGAGGAAACAAGACATATAAATGAAATTAACACTTGACGATTTTACTCTAAGGAAAAAAGCTCACAGAAATTCAAATTTATTTTTGCCAAATCCTGATAAATAAATATGCTAAGCAAAAGTTATGCGCTGCCACGCGTGATAAAAGCGTGACGGGGCCAGAAAGATCCGTTTCCATTTCTCCCCATTCCCCTCTCCCTTTTTTCCCCTCCCCTTCCCCTTTTGAATCTATGCCAAAAAGGTTAATTCATTTTAAAAGTAACACCAGAGAATTTGGTTTACAGATTTAAAAAGTTAGTGAAAAATAATCTCACCTGACTCAGTCTAGGAGTGAAAGGGTTAAGCTGTTTTTAACCAGTGGCTATTTCGTGCACTTATTAACAAAGAACCAGCTGAGTGTTTTACTAACAGAATCTTTTAACTACCGAGTGGTAAATTTTCAAGGAAAGCATTGAAGCATTCTCAGGTTCTGTTTTCTGAAATGGACTTTGACAAACATGTCGCCAAGAAATTTCCCCATTCCCAGTTTAAATTTTAAGGAGAGCTAAATGAACATAAAACTCCTCAACAGGCTACTGGCAAAATATCCAACTTCAAGCAGTGGAAATCTGAACACATCTTTAATTACTCACTTTTCGAATAACATAGTTAATAAGTACTGTGTTTTTATCCCGCACTAAGAATTTCAGCGGTGTATACAGTTTCGCCTATTACAAATAAACGCTTTTAAAACAAACCTTTGTGAGATTCTTTATTCCATAATCATCTTGATCATCGGCTTCAATTTTGATCGCAAACCAGCCGCTTTCCAGCTCGGTTTTCATAAAATCAAAGTTTGAATACACAGCAGAGGGAACGTCCTCTTTGTACGCTCCCGTCGCTGAGAATTTTTCTGTCGCTCCACACTCCAGAGCTATCCAGGATTTTGGGTCAACAGACGTTTTGTCTGGTTTACTCGGCTGGTAGACTAAAGGAAAAGAAAAGAATAGACAACAGTACTCACAAGCTACAGTTCTAGGCCAAAAGACTCGCACTTTGACCACATTCATTCAACAAGTCTATGTTAAATAGATTGATAGAGCAGCTAGCCTAAAGTGCAAGAGAGAAGACTATTGCATGTGGAATTCTATTTCAATGCGACTTGTGTGATGCAAAACCAGCAGATGAGCCAGACAAGAACAAGTAAGCTTCTACTTGCGACCACTTTAAGCCCCTTCGTCTTAGCTGTGCACGAAATACTAACATCTTTAAGTTAATAGAGAACTCAGACACCATCTCTAATAGTGTCCAATCGGACTCGATTAGGGCCAAATCATTTCAGTGACACCNGCAGAGGGAACGTCCTCTTTGTACGCTCCCGTCGCTGAGAATTTTTCTGTCGCTCCACACTCCAGAGCTATCCAGGATTTTGGGTCAACAGACGTTTTGTCTGGTTTACTCGGCTGGTAGACTAAAGGAAAAGAAAAGAATAGACAACAGTACTCACAAGCTACAGTTCTAGGCCAAAAGACTCGCACTTTGACCACATTCATTCAACAAGTCTATGTTAAATAGATTGATAGAGCAGCTAGCCTAAAGTGCAAGAGAGAAGACTATTGCATGTGAAATTCTATTTCAATGCGACTTGTGTGATGCAAAACCAGCAGATGAGCCAGACAAGAACAAGTAAGCTTCTACTTGCGACCACTTTAAGCCCCTTCGTCTTAGCTGTGCACGAAATACTAACATCTTTAAGTTAATAGAGAACTCAGACACCATCTCTAATAGTGTCCAATCGGACTCGATTAGGGCCAAATCATTTCAGTGACACCGCATAATTATTATTACAGCTGATCTCCTGCCAGTTATTTCTCACAAACTGCTCTGAATATATTGAACTAGAAAAGACACCAAGACGTCGCTCGATTTTATCGGCGCTGAT